GCTGTAATTCACGTGTGAATATATTACCAATCAGTTGTAGTTGGGCTGATGATGGTCAACTGAAAATCTTTACTGCATCACCCAACCCTAGAACTCTAGTGTCCAAACCCCAGAAGTGTGGGTGATCATGTATGCTGTGGCGTCTTCCCCTGCCGCAGTCAACTGGTAATGTGTGAACACGTACAGATGTTTATTAGGTTATTGCATGCCATGATCTTCATGGGAGGGTGGGTAGTCCTGTGTGGAGGGTGGGGGTCTTTTTTGGATAATGGTAGAGGAAATGCTGAAGGCCTCCTATTTCTCCTGATCTGCCCAAAAACATTAGACCAGATGTTTCTAAACTTTTCAGCGTGTGTTCTTCAAAATGACAGTGGCAGAGACTTGGTTAGGTTTATGAAGCACGTAAGTCAAAGAGAAAGTAAAAACCCAAACATTACCAACAATTAGATTTTAACAAGTTATTTCTACTCATTTTAATGCCTATAGCAGTATGTAGAAAATACTTGATATTAACAATCCTTTATGAAATGTAAATAACATTTTTGGAGAACATTATCAATCACTAACACGCAGACAAACACACACAGTGTTTCACAACCCACAGTGAGATTCTGACCCAAACAAGAATCTGTGGAAATACTAAACTGAAGACTAAAAAAAGGAAGTATAATCATAATAAATGCAAAAAATGTGCATCAGTGTTGATGCACTGGCACTTTTAAAAATGGTCAATAGGTTGTGTTCATAACATTATGATGCTAAACATAATCCATGTTTTCATCAGTGTTGTCGTACATAATTTCTTTAAATAACGTACACATGCATGAATATGTGTGCTGTTTCTGTTTTCCTTCAACCATTGTGCACTTATGCATTGTGTCATTTTGCAGATACATTTTGTTCTGTTGTCATTTTTTGAGATAATTTTCACTTGACAAGTTCAACTTCCCAAAGGTTTGTTGCTGTTGATCTGTGCTCTCAAGCTGTCTGTACTGAATTTCCAGGCCTGTAAAGGGGAGGGAGGACAGTCAGCCAGCAATCACACAGACTCACAGGCCAGTCCTGCGAAGAAGAAACGCACTGCCAGCCCAGCTAAGGTTCAGCAAAGATGCATCAGAGTTATAATTCCTGAGAGGTGAAACTTGAAGAGAGCAAAAGTTTTATGTTGTTCTCGTTCACAGGGAGATGCAAACACCTGGGCAAACAACTCTAGTCAGCAGCAGATCCCTAGCTGGTACCTAACACCACAGAAACTTCAGGTAAGAAAATGTCTCAGTACAGAAATACTCTTATTTTGTTATTTTTTATCAAAAAACGTTTATGGTTTAGAAACGCTGATCGTAGTTTGAAGATGAATATATGAGACTGTCACGTCTCAATATTAGTGGAGCCAGAAAGCTCATGAATCTCATCCTGTCTTAGTAGCACACGTCTCTTTAACAGTGGACTGAAGTTTGGGTAGTTTTGATATGAAATATTCTTAAATAAAATAGAATGGAGTAGACATTTATTGTCATTGCACGAGTACAACAAAATTTGAGTTTCCTTCGTAGAGCAAAAATAAAAACAGTGTAACAGCAGGGGGGGGGGGGCGAATAAATTTATATATATATATATATATATATATATATATATATATATATAACAGTATAAAAGGTAATAGTTATAGATTTTAAACAGTCCAAATGTGCAACACAAGCAGATTGATATTTCACTAGTTGTCCCTTATTGCACTTACAGTGATGAAAATAAGTATTTGAACACCCTGCGACTTTGCAAGTTCTCCCACTTAGAAATCATGGAGGGGTCTGAAATTTTCATCTTAGGTGCATGTCCACTGTGAGAGACAAAATCTAAAAAAAAAAAATCTGGAATTTACAATGTATGATTTTTAAAAAATAATTTGTGTGTTACTGCTACAAATAAGTATTTGAACACCTGTCAATCAGCAACAGTTCTGGCCCTCAAAGACCTGTTAGTCCACCTCTAAAAAGTCCACCTCCACTCCACTGATTGTTCTAAATTAGAAGCACCTGTTTGAGGTTGGTAGCTGCATAAAGACACATGTCCACCCCACACCTCAGTTAGAGCATTGAAGATGAGTCATGGCTGGATCTTCCAACATGACAATGACCCAAAGCACACAGCCAGGAGAACCAAGGAGTGGCTCCGTAAGAAGCATATCAAGGTTCTGGAGTGGCCTAGCCAGTCTCCAGACCTAAACCCTATAGAAAATCTTTGGAGGGAGCTCAAACTCCGTGTTTCACAGTGACAGCCCAGAAACCTGGCTGATCTAGAGAAGATCTGTGGAGGAATGGAACAAAATCTCTGCTGCAGTGTGTGCAAACCTGCTGAAACACTACAGGAAACATTTGACCTCTGTAACTGCAAACAAAGATACTGTACCAAATATTAACATTGATTTTCACAGGTGTTCAAATACTTATTTGCAGCAGTAACAGACAAATAAATTATTAAAAAATTATGCATTGTGATTTTCGATTTATTTATTTATTTTTTTTAGATAATGTCTCTCACAGTGGACATGCACCTAAGATGAAAATTTCAGACCCCTCCATGATTTCTAAGAGGGAGAACTTGCAAAGTTGCAGGATGTTCAAATACTTATTTTCCTCATTATATATACAGTTCTTTTTACAGTTTTTGTTAAGTTCAGTAACAGCTGACAGGTGAAAACTTTTTAAATCTGTTTGTTCTTGTCTTGATCTGAACCTTCTCCCTGATGGTAACAGTTCAAACAGATCATGTCCAGGGTGACACGTGTCCTTTAAGATGTTGTGGGCTTTTTCCATGCAGCAGAAACATTAAATCAAAGTACTTAAGTACACTGGTTCTAGAATTGTGCTCAGGGTGGCTGCATGTTGGAGCAGCTCTGTTACATTTATTCTGAGATTTTGCTTTTGGAAACTTTAATTCCTCTTTTGCTGGATGTAAATCACTTTTCTTGGGCAATTGTTTCCTCTGGTATTGGATGCTGTGCATCCAGAACAATTTTTACTGAAAAATGTTATAGTTTTGGATATTTGTTGTAATGCGTAACCATGGCAGCAAGCTTTTTCTTTTTTAATGACCTTGAGCAGCTGATTAACAGCTCAAATAATACCTCGGCTACATCCTCAAATGCCAAATGAGTTGAAAAGGAGGCGCCGTAGATGCATTCCCGTCTCCCTGCCGGCTGTGCTGGAGTGCCTAACCACTGAGATCCTGGAACTGGCAGGAAACTCAGCTCATGACAGCAGAAGTACCGGGATCGTCCCCAGACACCTGCAGTCTGCTGTCCGCAGTGACGAGGGGCTCAGCAGACTGCTGGGAGGAGCGGCCTTTGCTCTGGGAAAAGTTCAGTCTGGCATTTGGGCGGTCCTGCAGCCTGGAGGACCCGAGAGGCCAGCCGATTCTGGGTGGACGGATCGAACAGCATCTGTGACCAGTTTCTTCAGATCCGCTGTGGGACGGGCCTTTACAAGAGATCCTTCCTGCCTACAGCCATCAGTATAACATCTCTTAATGAAAGGAGGATGATGAGCTACAACATTTAATTTCCCTTTGGGATTAATAAAGTATTTTTTAATTTAATTTAATTTAATTTAATTTAGAGAACGTTCTTCCATCATTCCTTTTTGTGTTCTAATTGAAATTATTTGATTTTGGGGAGGGTTTTGTGTGTGATTGATGTAGAATTTTATTTGCTCAACATGTTGTTTCATCCTTTGTTGTAGTTTTGGTTTCTCTGCTCAAAATGTAGAGCAGGCAAAGAGTTTATACCCCAGACTCTTATCAACATCATATATCTTTAGTTCTGGGAAAGCCCAGATGATGATGTCATGGCTTTAACTTTTCATAGGTTAGGTGACAACATTGGAGTTTAAATGGGACACACCTGTGCATGCATTTTGAGGCACACCTCAAACACTGCAACACCATGAAACTTAAAGCCCCACATTCTTAGTACACAGACTGGTTTAAAAAATACGTCTTCATCAGTAGACGAGGATCCGGTGACTTAAGTTCTGTGCAGTGGGAGACAACAGGGGCACTTGGTCAATGAATACGTGTATGATATATTACACCTGATATCACCATTGCAATATTCAATAATGTTATCTCAACTGCATGCTTCTCAAATCTCATGTAGACCTAGAGCAGCATATTTTTCTCTCAAAGCGTAATTTATATTCTAAAAGTGTAAAATGCTTCCAAGTGAACGTGTCTCCTGCACTGCTGTGAAATGAACAGCAGTGGACGAACCGAGTCAACTTCATGCCTCAGCTGCAGATGCTTGAACATCAGCAGCAGGTACAGATGTGTGTGTGCACACAAACTCCTGCTTGTGTGTACACACACACACCCAAAGATAGGGGGAGCTGTGGAGCAGTGGTAGGGCAGCCAGCTTGAGACTGAAAAGTCGCAGATTCGATTCCCTGCCATGGTGCCTTTGAGCAAAGACCTCTGTTTCCTAAAGGCTCTCTGGGTGCTTAAATAGCTGCCTGCTGCTCTACTTTTGTGTGCCATGGGTTAATTACAGAGGACAGATGTCATTAGGGGTGCACCAATTGCAGTTTTCTGGCCGATCACCGATTTCTAAAAAGTCTTGAGTTGCCGATACAGATTTAGTTTCATAAGCCACACTGTCAGGAGTTATAAGGTCACAATGCACCTTTAATGTTCCAATATTATTTTATTGAAAAACATACCCTTGAACAATATCCTAGAAACGGTACAGACTTGTTTTAAATGGCCATGAGGTAGTGCTCTGAAATATAAATGAAGTTCAGACAATTGTTGTTAAAACAACAAAACAAAAAAAAACAACTAAAATTGGTTTCTCATGCAAGTATCGGCTGATTTCCCAAAATTAAGGAAATTGGGGCCGATTTATCGGTGCACCCCTAGTTGTCATTGTTTGGGTCCGCACGATGATGACCTTCATTTTCAGACCACGTCTTCAGTGTTGCTTAGAAGAATTTTTATTTCCTCTCTTGTGGATCAGATGAGGCAACAGGCAGCAGCAGGTGGCCAGCCACACCCAAACCTCTCCAACGGTCCTTCAGCCAAGTCCTCCCCTCATCCAGGCCTCCCCCATACCACTCCTATCAACCACACAGCCAGCCGGCCTCCATGTGTCCCTCACCCCATATCCAATGGACCATGTACTTCGAGTTCTGCGGGGCTGCCAGGACACCTGGACCTGAAAAGTCACAGCCCAGTAATGGGGGGTGGCAACGCGAGCAATGGAAACATGCCTTACCCGCAGCAGAACTCTCTACCTCACACCTGCACAGGCGCCAGTCACCCCAGCACCAGCAGCACTACCAGTAGTCTCAGTCCCACTGATGAGACGTGGAGGAGCCAGCAACGCAACACTACCACTCAGGTATTTCACCGTTTTCTACATTCATTGTCAATCATGAAGAGTAGCTGTATGTTTTTAATCCTTGCTTTTTAAACATTGTGTACCAATCTGCACATCCTTTTTGTTCAGGGGCTTCAAAAAGGTCCAGGTTCACATTTGGCAGGTCCTAATGGAGAACCCCCTTTCTCTTCCGCCTCCTCCCCTCAGACCTCCTCCGGCATTCTGAATCAAGGTGGACATGGCTCTGGGCCCTGCACCGCCTCTTCTTCAGCCTCTTCTTTATCCCCCACCTCTCCCCAGACAACACCCAACCACTTGTCCTCACCTCCCCACTCCGCTACTACCTCAAGGGTCCACACCAAAGACACAACGCCTTCTGGGGGCAAAACCAGCAGCACTGCTGTTGCTGCTTTGCCATCAGGTCCAGAGAGCGCTGCAGGCCAATGTGAAGGTGCATCGCTCAGTCCTAGCACTTCCCCGGCACAGGGATTGACTAATCACATCCAGCCGCGGGTGATGGACATCTCCTTCAGCCTGTCGCAGTCTGGTTCTCCTGCCTCTGGCATACTCAGTTCAGACAATCCTCAACTCTCAGCTTTTTTAAAGGGAAAAGCCAATGCTAGCAGTAATGATGACGACAAAAACCACAGAGGATCGTCTTCTGAGAAAATCAACAATGTCCACCCGGCTGTCAACAGCAGCAACACAAAGCCCCTTTCAGAGCACTCTGTGACGTCCTCTCCACTTTTAGCCACTGCAACACCCTCTCCTTCCTCAGCAGATCCTCACACCACCAACAGCCTGTCCTGCCTTAACAGCCCGTCCAACTCCAACAGTCAGGGCCCCACGTTGAATGGGAAAGAACCGGAGGACTCCCAGAGCCCTCTGAAAGTAGAGCCCTCTGGACTGGCACACAGATGCACAGCTCCATCTGCTCTGGTCCCCTGGTCCTCGGTTTCTATCTATCCCAGCTCCAGTGATGTACTCAAAGCATGCAGGTAAGAAGAGCCCATTCATAAAGAATGAATGCAGAATGTTAAAACATGTAGTTTGGGTTTTGATGGAAAAATGCAGAGTGCGCAAGTGATTTCTCTGCAGGTATAAAAAATAATAATAAAACTTGTGTGCAGAAAAGTAAAATTCCTCCTGGGCGTGACGCCAGAATGTCCCCAAGTGCTACATGTTCAATTTTCTTTGTCATTCGCATCACGTGGTACATAAGGTGGAATGAAATTGTGTGCACACAGGTTGCTGCTGTCGTTTTTATTTGTAATCAACTAAGAAGTTTCATGTAAATACCCATGTGATGCCCAAATGACAACAGTTAAAGGTGCTGCTGTAAAAGTTTATTAGAGCAGTTTTAAGATTACATCATTCCACTTTGATTACAGCTGCACTCAGGCTAACTCTTAGCTCATCTGTCCTTTTGGCCATAAACTTTATTCTTTCAAAATTGAGCACATTTAAAAGTTTTTTTACAGTAATTATTATTTATGACACAGAAACCCACTGGCTAAACATATTATTTAAATGATGCTGTTACCATTAAAACACAGTTTCCAAGAATATTAATCCGTGCAGGATCCTGCTGGTTTATGCTGTTTTTGTACAGAACGTGGTCCTTTTTTCTAGAAACTGGGAAAATAAACATCGTATTGAATCTGCACTGATTGTATGGAAAATCTTTCAGTTGTGCTCAGAAGACTGATTTGTCTCAGCCGTCCTTCATTAACAAGTCTACTCTTTCAGAGTGTGTTGATTAAAATGGCAGCAGAAACATTTGATGTTGAAGCGTGTGTACAGGCGAGAAACAAGTAGACTCTTTGTCGTCTGATGTATTTTAAAGGAAACATTTGCTGCCTCGATGACAGCAAACTACGTGTTATTCTCACAGTCATGAATCCTATGTTGATGTCAGAGATTATGTGCATTACTTGCATGTAAAGCACTATCATAATAGCCTAAAACTGTAAGTCTGGCTCACCTTTTTGTTAAATCATCCCATGGATTTTCATATTCATTTAAAAAAACAAAAAAGTTCTGTGGGTTTTAGTTCAGAGTTTATTAAGACACAGATTAGTCAAGTTACACATGGTGTCCATGTTGGTTTACTTGTTTATTTCTACTGCAATTGTACATTTATTTATTTATTTATTGTTAAAACTACAGCTGTTGATTTTCAGCCACAAGCAACAGAACCTGTGCTGCCACCTTGTGGTAGAAACTAGTTTTTCTACTGTAAGCCAGTTGACAAATATCAGTTTCATTAACACATACAGTGGGGAGAACAAGTATTTGATACACTGTTGATTTTTCAGGTTTTCCCACTTGCAAAGCTTGTAGATGACTGTAATTTTTATCGTAGGTACTCTTCAACTGTGAGTGATGGAATCTAAAACAAAAATCCAGAAAAATACAATGTATGATTTTTAAATAATTAATTTCCATTTTATTGTGTGAAATAAGTATTTGAT